TCTCCCTCTCTCTTCCTCTCTGAAATAAATAAAAAAAATCTTTAAAAAAAATAAAAAGAACTAAGGAAAGAATGTTCATGTGTCCAAACCACCAGACATCTGGAAGATTACCATCTCAGACCAATCCAGAGACTCAGAATGCAATACTATTTCTTTTCAAAGATGTAATTTTTACTATAAGAACTCTCAACCTTTCTCTCTTTTTTATTTTTTGGAACACTCTGAGTGCTTACCTGGTAGTATTTCCAATTTGTAAACCCTAAGACCCTTGAATAAAACTTGGTCATTTTCGATTTTGGTAAAGCCTCCTGATTCATTTACATTCAGTTGACACCATTAACCCGGCTCCCACGCAGTCTCCAGATGGTTGCCCAGGCTAGTTAAGGGCTGGCAGGATAAGCTATGCCCACTCCCAGCCAGGTGTTTTATCAAAATGCTATGCAGGCCAAGTGTGACAGCAAAGTGCCAAGCAGCTGAATTCATCTCCCAATTCTTGTCCACGTTAAGGAATGACTACCAAGAGAATCCCACTTCATTTCTTCTGGAACATTTCCAAGAGACTATCTAGCTAGGCCCAGGCCAGAAGCCATCCTCTGAAGCATTCCTAAGAATGTGCCAGCTGAGACTAGTGCCAAGGAAATGTTCTCCCACCCCCACTTTCCGATGCCAGAAAGTGAATGTACAGGTAAATACAAAAGATCATATTTTTAGATTTCTCCAGAAGACTGTTGACTAAGTAGTGTTAACAATGTGTTATGGCCCTAGCTGGTTTGGCTCAGAGGATAGAGCGTCAGCCTGCAGACTGAGGGTCCCGGGTTCTATTCTGATCAAGGGCATATGCTCAGGTTACGGGCTTGATCCCCATTAGGGGGTGTGCATGAGGCAGCCACTCAATGATTCTCTCTCATCATTGATGTCTGTCTGTCTCTCTGTCTCTGTCTCTCTCTGTCTCTCTCTCTCCCCCCCCCCTTCCTCTTTTAAGTAAAAAAAAATATGTATTTTTAAAAAACACACAAAGTATTATGTATGGGGTTTATAAACTAAGTAATAGTGAAACACATGACACCAATAACAAATTCCCAAAGTGGGAAATGAAGTTGTGGTAACATACTTACATGGTATGTGAAGGGTAAGAATTCATTCAAGGCAGATGGTAATAAGTTAAGGAATCATATTGTAATCTATAAGGCAACCACCAAAACATAGAGGCATACTTGGGGTAAAATGGAATGCTGAGAAATTACACATGGCTAAATGCTTTACTTTGGCCAGCGAAAGGTGTGATATATGTCACTTCTGGGTAGGCGCATTTCAGAGCCAAGACTTGGCTCTTGCTGTTCGGTTTCCTTGTTTTGTGTTGAGGCGGCAGGATCGCAGGATGGTGTGCAGTGATTGTGTGGAACAATGCATTCCCACACCCACATGCCACACACTCGCTGACATTCACTGGACATTCAGCATAAGAAATAAACTTTGTGTCAAGCCTCTGAGATTTTTGGTATATGACGGATACACTTGCATTCCTGGAATAAAACTTAGTCACCATGTATGTATTATTTTTTAAGGTGCCGGTGGAGTCTGTTTGTAAATAATTTACTTGTTTACTTCATTAATATTTTTAAGTTTGAGATTAATCTATGGCTTTGTGTGTGTGCAATCTATCAGATTTTGATAACAATGATATACTTGCTACATAAAAACAATTTAGCCCTGGCTGGTTTGCTTAGTGGTTAGAGCATTGGCTGGTGGACTGAAGGGTCTCGGGTTTGATTCCCTGTCAAGGGTATGTGCCTTGGTTGCAGGCTCGATCCCTAGCCCCGGTCAGAGTGCAAATGGGAGGCACCCAGTTGATGTGTCTCTCACATCGATGTCTGTCTCTCTCTCCCTCCACTCCTCCCTCCCCTCCACTCTCTCTATAAAAAAATCAATGGAAAAAATAGCCTCAGGTGAGGATAATAATTTAGATTACTTCTCTTGTTTCCTATGCTTGGAAAAAAGTTTAAAGAACATTGGAAACATCTATTCTTTAAAGGCTAATAGAATTCTACGAACTTAACTGGACCTGGAGCTTTTTTGAGGGGAAGCTCTGTGACAACTTTCTTAAGTTCATCTATGGAAATGGGTCTGTTTGGATTTTATATACCTCTACTAGGGTTAGTTTGGGTATGTTACATTTTCCTTAAAAAACTATTTCACCTAGATTTTTTTTTTCAGATGTATTTGCAGTTAATGATTTTACTCTTGTTTTGATAATTATTTCCTTATTATTTTGTGTATTTGTGCTTTCTCTTTCTAGCAGTTTTAAATTTTTGTTGTTTTTTTCCTAGTAGTTAAATTGTGTTGATTTAAAAACAAACAAACAAACAAACAGAGCCAAGTTTCTTTACTGTTCGGCTCACTGACAACCTTGAATTCCCTGGGATGAAATCTAAAACTGGCCCCCGGATCAACTGAAGGGACAGGCTAGTTCAGATTGGCAGGTGGCAGGTTTAATATGCAAGGGACCTTACATACAAGGCTTGCCTTGGGGCAGCCATCAGCCAGAATCTTAAGTTTATATAACTTAACAAGCTCAGTCATGTACAGTACAGAAAGATGGTCTCAGCAACACTTGATTCTCTCAAGGCTGCAACCTTGAAACAGCTCCAGCTATGGGAACCTACAGGTCCACCACCAAGGTCAACCAGGGGTCACATCTTCTCAATGGTCTCTAACACTTCTCATCTTTGTTTTCTAATTATCCTTTTATCTTTCTATAGTATATATTGCTGCTAGGAAGCCTGATGACATCTAATTTTTCTTTATTGTAGAAGCCACTTTGTCTTTTTGCCTGGAGGTCCAGAGGATTTCTTTTTTTACTAAGACCTTTCTCAGAGTTCACATAATTTTAGTAGGATCTTTCTTAAATTGACACTTCTGAGTCAACTTTCCCAAGTATGCACACAGTGTGTCTTTACAGTATTTATATTCAGGGTGTTTTCTTTTCATGGGGAGGAAAGTTTTATTGAATTACCATGCTAAATATTAATTTTGTTCCATTTTCTTCTAGTCTCATCAATATAAAATTCAATATAGTTGAATTTTCAACATTAGATTGCCTTTGCCTCTTTTTCTTGTCACTTTCTCTTATTTTCTCGTTCTCTTTTTTTCAGTTGAATATCTTCCCCTTGTGCATCTTGAATTTAGGTTTGAGATACTTTAATTCAATTCTTTGAGTTCTGTCAGTTCCCATTCACTTCTACCTGTTGTTTGGTCATCTCCAACAAGTTTTGCATTTGTGCTGTGCTGTCTCACTGCATTTGCTTGTCCAGTTTTTAATTCCTGTTGGAATGTTGCATTACATTTTTCTTCTACCTATAATGGCTTTATTTTAATATATATATAAGTATGTTTTACCTGCTGAAATGTTTGAATTTTCTGGTTTTGGTCTCTTCCTACTATATTCCCATAAAGATGCTGCAGTTTCATTGTATTAAGGTGGACATTTAAGCATGCTAGGTTTACCTAAACAATTAGCAGGAGGATACTGTAAGAAGCGGGGCAGGGAGAGGGTTTGGGTGGTTTTCTGTTTCTCAAGGACTCCCCCTCCTGGTGCTAGTGAGACACAGACTCATTAATACTTGGCACCTTTTGTAGACAGGCTTCCTCGGGTTCTGTTGCTTTAGTAAGTCTATCACCAGCCCCTGTGCTCTCCATTACACCCCCTCTGGCTTCTGAGGTGCCGAGCTCACCCCCAGAAGGGGTGCCTCACCAAGACTGTCAGTTCTGATCCTGTGCACTTTCCACACGCTTCTTCTCTACTCCTTCCCTGCCAGAGCCAGCTTACCTGGGTAAAGCTGTTGCCATCCAGGTGCTGATATTGCTAGGACTCCTCCAATTTATTGGCAAGTTATTTGTTTCCTTTAAAAAAAATTATCTTTATTATGTAAAGTATTACAGATGCCCCCTTTAACTGCTTCCCCATTAACCTCCTGCATATTTGCTTCTATAAGGCTTAACAACTTCCCACCTGCACTCACACTCATTCCCAGACTAACCTGCTCATCTGGGTGAGTTTCCTCGGGCAGCCATAACAAATTACCATAACTTGGTGCCTAAAGCAACAGAAACTTATTCTTACAGTGCTGTTTACCAAATCAAGGTGTCACCAGGGCCACCTCCCTATGAAGGCTCGAGGGGAGAATCCTCCTTTGCCTCTTCCTGCTGCTGGCGACTCCTGGTGTTCCTTGGCTTTTAGCTGCATCACTCCAATCTCTGCCTTCACACAGCCCTCTTCCCTGTGTGTCAGACCTTTCTCCTTTCTCTCATGAGGACACCAGTCATTGGATCTAGGTCCCCCCTAAAGGCTAAAGCTCTCAGTGGCTTCACATAGTAAGAATTTACGTGTGGCTCAGTGAAGAATCCTGTCACTTAAGGGCTTGGCTCCACGCTCCTCTCGGGCCTTAGACTGCTCTCCATGCAGCCTTGGGGAAAGAGGAGAGGGGTGCTCTTATGGGAGATTGATAGAAGCCAGCCTGGGAAATGGTGCACATCTCTTCTGCCCATATTCACTGGCCAGAACTCAAATAGCCACGTGAATAACTGCAAGGAAGGCTAGGAAATGTAGTGCAGCTGTGTGCCCAAGAGGAAAGGAAATATATTTAGTAAACAACCAGTCTCTCTGTGTACATCTTTTCTAAAAAAAAAAAATTTTTTTTATTGATTTCAGAAAGAAGGGAGAGGGAGAGAGAGATAGAAACATCAATGATGAGAGAGAATCATTGAAGGGCTGCCTCCTGCACGCCTCACACTGGGGATTGAGCTCGCAAGCTGGGCATGTGCACCGACCAAGGAATCGAGGCGTGACCTCCTGGTTCATATGTCAATGCCCATGCTGGCTGGGCTCTGTGTACATTTTTTAATACTATTCTATCATTTTTTGATTTTCTTGTAATGACTTAACCACAAAGTTCAGAAATGACAGACTTCATCTCATTCACTTAATCCCTTACTCATAGGCATAAAATAATCTTTGCATACTGTATTTGCATACCAATTTGGTTTCTCCATTTCTTGGGTTAGCCTTGTCTACCCATATTTTAACGCTTATTTTACTTTTAACTTCTACTCTCATACATTTTTACCTTATTTGTTCCTTTGGCAAAACTGTTTATTTCCACAGGTGCCAGTGGGAGGCAGGGACAGCATAAGTGGGCAGTAAGGGGATACCCCTACCACATTTTAGCCAGAGAAAGGAGCCCTGATGCCCCTAAGAGGCCACCCCTGAGAGCTGCCCTGATCTCCTCAATTCCCTGAGTCGACATGAACCCTTAAGAGGACAAACACCTGTTTGACTGATGTGTCCCAGCTTACCTGCCCACTGAGGGACCTTCCCCTTCAGGGCAGCTTGACCTCCATGGCCATCTTGACCACTCACCACTGCTGTTCAGGCTGTTTAAACTGCTGACGATGGGGAAAAGACTCCAGGTCAAAAAGCAATTAATCATTAATGGGTTGCCTCCTGCATGCCCCACACTAGGGACCAAGCCCTGGAAATGTGCTAGGAAAATATTTCTCACATGGAGGCTGCTTTTGCCTTCTTTGCATCTATCCTTTCTTAGCAGCTCATGGTTATTACCAGCTCATCAGTCCGTGGGCCCAAGCATGGACGGCCAGTGGCTCACTGGCAACGCGTGGGAGATCTTGGGTGGGCCCAAGTTTTCTTCCTTCTCCACAATCACCACTGCCCCCTCTTGGTCTTCAGTTTCTAGGCCCCTAAGAGTGGAGTTCCAGGTGCTCGCCCTTGGTAAACTGTCTGAGCAAACAGGTGCTGAGGTGGCCTCATCAGAGGCATCAGAGCTAGAGGCTCCATGGCACTGAAACGTACGGACCCTGAGACAGGACACTAGCATCTCAGGGGCCTTCTGGGCTCAATTACTGGGTGTTTGAGAGTTGAAACTCTTACCAAGCAATCTCTGTAAAAGAGAGCGGTCATTTGTCCACCTAAGATGGAGCTACAAAGGTGCAGGGAATGAGGTATGGCAACACTGAAAAGGCTACAGGAGTAACCTTCTCCAGCCCACTTCTTTCTTTAGAAAGGCCAGAAAATGTTACGCAGCCAAAACACACAAGCACAAAATTTTAAAAATTTGTAGGAAGGTCTCATGTGGTGGAAAAGTTTCCAGCAAAAAAAGTTTGAACAAAAGCTGGACCAAGACCCCATTTCTGCCCATTCAGAAGTGGGCACCACGCAGGCCCCTAACAGACTTACACTGTACACCTTGATTTCCCTCTTTGGACCCTTTTCTCTCATTTGAAAGAGGAAGTAATAGGAAAAGGGAAATATTCACAGCTCCTGAGGTTTTGTGGAGAACTCTGATTACATAAATATTATCTTTTTACATGTATGTGGAAGACCTCAAACTGCTGGGCATTCACACAACTTCTGAATAAATGTAGAAAAATATCTACACTGACAATATACATTTTAAACGTTTTCGAAAACCAAAAGGGATTTAAAATGCAGTAACAAATACGGGCATTTCTGTCCTCCACTGTCTTCATTTACTACTGTAGGCAGCGGACGCTACCGCTCATCTTGGTTCAACAAAGACACCAAGTCACTGGAAGTTTCTTCACTGCAGAAGCCCCCAGAGGAAGGGAAAGTTTTAGAGGGTAACTCCCAGTGTCCCTTCATGTTCTCCCCAGGAGAAATCCATCTTGCAGCCCAATGTTCCCAGTAGACTTGGGCCAGACACATCTAGCACAGTCACTGTCCTGCCACACTAGCCGACATGGCCCAAGATCCGAGAGGGGCCCCTCTGTTATGCCTGCTCACCAGCACTGCCTCCACTGGCCCCTGAGCCTTTGCCTGACGCCTGGGCTTCTGAGGAGCGTGAAGCCTGCTTTGGCAGGTGGATGGGGACGTAGATGTTGGAAGCAAAATGCTCCTTGAAGTACTCTCCTCCCTTCTCTTCATATTCTTTCCTGGTGATCCAGACGGCATCGTCATCCAGGTGGTCCAAGGCCCAGTCCCGAGCACCATACCAGGCGTCCAGCACAGGGTTAGAGGCAAGCTGAACCTGAAACACAGAGAACATTCACCAGAAGGCCGTCGCCATCAGGACTCAAGGAGTGAATGCTCAGCAGGCCCAGCCACATCCCCCTACTCTTCATCCCCAGAAATGCACACACAGGAGGACCCAATGAATTCTATCTCTGCACCCTCCAAACTCTGCTGAGCTGAAATGCCCCCGACTCTCCAAGTGACACAAGCATGCAAGCCCTAGCAGACTTGGCCTCACAGAACAGGCGGTGGTCAGCTAACTTATGAACTTAAGACCTGCCACTCTGGGTCAGAGAGGGACCAGTTGCCCCGCCCCCCTGCTCCAGTGATGTTAACCACAAGTTGTCAAATGGAGAGGGAAGCTGAGTTGGCACTCGGCCTGGAGAAAAGGCCTTCCTGGCCTCAATCCCCTCTCCGCAAGCAGAGGGGAGCAGAGGAAAGTGGAGCCTGATATGAGGCAGCTCTGGCCGATGGTGGCAAATAAGCCTCTAAAATGAGAGCAGAGAAGATGCTGCTCCCAAGGTGAGGAGAATGATTTATTCTCCATGTACAATCTTTCATATCCTCTGCCTTTTACTATATGCATGTCTTTCTTTTTCAATAAAATATATATATATAAAACACGATTCTCATTCTGCTTTTACAATTAAACATAAATGAAAGACCAGAAGGAAAGCCATAAAAATGTTTAACAGTGGCTATCTCCGAGTGATGAGATTATACAGTGATTTTTCTCATTTATACTTTACTTACTACTTCTGCAACCAGAAAACAAAATAATTAATGCTATTTTCAAAACAGCTGGTTAGCCCTAGCTGGTTTGGCTCAGTGGATAGAGCGTCAGCCTGTGGACTGAAGAGTCCCAGGTTCAATTCCAGCCAAGGGCACATGGTGGGGTTGCGGGCTTGATCCCCAGTAGGTGGCAGGAGACAGCCAGTCAATGATTCTCTCTCACTGTTGATGTTTCTCTCTCTCCCTCTCCTATCCTCTCTGAAATTAATAAAAATATATATTTTTTTAAAAACCACACACACAAGAAACAGCTGGTTACATTATCAATCAGTACCTGAAAAGATGACTGAAAGGGTCTCATTGCCAACAGTTCCTTCTCGATTCTAACTTTCAGCCCAGGATACATCAAGTTCCCGCCAGTGAGGAAAACGTTCTGAACCAGCACCTCCTGAATGTCCTTTGGGTACCTAGGAGAGAAAAGATTACTCTATGGTCCCTATAACTTGAATATCAGAAGAGAATGTACATGTGGAAATGTAAGCTCTCAGTACAAAAGACAAAATATCTGTACAACTTTTTTAAAAACTTCCAATTTTCATTTGCATCTTTACAGAATGCTAAATATCTAGTCAAAACCTTATTTTGAGTGGTCAATTCATTTCCTTAGCATGATTAGAAGTTTTGTGCCTTTCTAACACGTGTTTTTTAAAAACTAATTTTATTGAGGTTTGATTTACACACATTTTGAGGAAGTCTGGTAAACTATATACCCAGCAACCATCATCACCACACTCTACATCAGTGGTTCTCAACCTGTGGGTTGCAACCCCTTTGGAGGTCGAATGACCCTTTCACAGGGGTCGCCTAAGACCATCGGAAAACACATATATAATTACATGTTGTTTTTGTGATTAATCACTATGCTTTAATTATGTTCAATTTGTAACAATGAAAATACATCCTGCATATCAGATATTTACATTATGATTGATAACAGTAGCAAAATTACAGTTATGAAGTAGCAACGAAAATAATTTTATGGTTGGGGGTCACCACAACCTGAGGAGCTGTATTAAAGGGTCGCGGCATTAGGAAGGTTGAGAACCACTGCTCTACATAAAAAACATTTCTATCACCCCAAGAAGTCTCGCCTCCCTTTTGAGAGTCCATCTCTCTACCTCTGCTTTTTTTTTTAAGTAACAGTTTTATCATATACATGTTTGGCCACTTTCCCACCCACTGTTAGACCAAGCTGACAGCCATTCAAAGCAGCTGCAATAGCTTTTCTTCCTTGCTAGCTGTAAGTTCCCATCCTGTTTATCCAACAGCAGCCACAGTACCAAAAGTCATCTTCCTTACTTGTCCAAACTGAATTATGAAAACTCACACTGCAGGAAAATGCCTGTATAAATGGGAGGGGGGAAAGCATGCTTTTATAGAAATGCAAACTCCTAAATAAATGTCTACAAGGAGGAAAAAAGACTTATAAGTTCTGCACATTTCTGGGTAATTTACAATCACTAGTCTTCAATGTGAAGGTTTATACGACAGCCAGTGCACATACATTACCACACTGTATGCGGGAAACGAATTTATACGTTTTACTTATACGTTTTACATTGACTGGTAGTAGAGCGCGGGACACATATTAATACGTTTTTTATAGACTAGCGGTAGAATGCGGGTAACGTATAAATACGTAAACTAAAGTTATCGTAATTTTACTGAAAGTTGCCATTTGCGCAAAAAATTAGCAAAAATGGCCCGCGCCACCTGTTAGCGCGCGATAAAAACTACCCGCAAACAATGTGTTGTTACCACGCTGCTCAAACCTAAAGGCCTGGCCAGAGTACTATCTGAGCACAGCAAGTCAATGAGAAGGAGAGTGTGAGAGAGATTTCCAATGCCTGACCATCAAATCTACCACTCAAAGCCCAGGAAGTGGTTCGGGAAAAAAAAGAAATAGAAGTTTCAGTCTCACCTGTCCAGAATGTACTGAAGGGTCTCCGCTATCCCAGCCTGCTCTTCGCCTAGGAGAGATGGCTGGAAGATAATCTCTGGAGCCCGAATTCTTTCTGTCCCAACAAACAGCTGGTGATATGCTGCCAAGTTAAACACGGGCTTTAAAAACCCAAGGTTTAAAAGATATTTTTAGATCATATGACAAACATGCTCATTGCCAGTTTCCTCAAACTGCACTGTTTATTCCAATACAGCTTCTGTCCTTTGTTCATGCCCAAGTAACCCCTCCCCAACTCTCCTGATTTGAACATTCAATTTTCTAGCCCTTTCCACCTACAAATTTGCATCATGAAATGGTCCCTGAATGGCAGGGAAAGAGACTGTTAAGAGTGGCAGCAGAAAGACTGAAAGACCAGGTCTCCTGCCCTAACCGGTTTGGCTCAGTGGATAGAGCGTCGGCCTGCGGACTGAAGGGTCCCGGGTTCGATTCCGGTCAAGGGCATGTACCTGGGTTGCGGGCACATCCCCAGTGGGAGATGTGCAGGAGGCAGCTGATCGATGTTTCTCTCTCATCGATGTTTCTAACTCTCTGTCTCTCTACCTTCCTCTCTGTAAAAAAAAATCAATAAAATATATTAAAAAAAAAAAAAAAAAAAAAAAGAAAAGAAAGACCAGGTCTCCTGCCCAGGGCCTTGTCCAGCACCCTGGTCCCTGCACAGCAGAGAAAGCTTTTCCCCAGGTGTCTCAGACCAGGTCAGCCTCTCTGGTTGCCACTGTATGACATAAAAGTAGACCCAAATGAGGATTAAGCATAATGACATTGGCTTAAATTTGAATTAAACCACTAAAGCTAGTCTTCAGGTATAAAGTCCCCAATTACTTACCCAAATGTTTCCATCAGACACACTATTTATTACTCACAGATTCTCGGACCTTGATGATGGAACCCCAATTGATAACCCTGACTTTGGATGTTTTAAGTATCAGAACCCCCCTTTCTAGAAAATACAACTGGGATTTTTAAAATATTTCTAAAGGAGCAGACTAGACTAGCCTGGTCATTTATGTCACAGCTTCAAAGCAAGAGCGTGATCGAGGACGCAGGAGTCCAACCTGGACAGCGGCGACCGGCTTCTCCACTTCTGGCGTTTCCTCTGAAAACAAGGGTTCAAAATCATTGATGTTTTCCACGTCTTCCAGGGACGGCTCTAGTGGCTCTAGGTCAGGGGTCTAAGAATAGAATAAACAAAACAGAACAGGTCCTGTAACTTCAGCAAGCCTTAGTTCTATTAGTTCACTGTCAAGAAAAAGCACTGAAACCTCCCAATGGCCTAAACTATGAAAAAATGAAACCATGAAAAAATTTCTAAAGTATTTAAGAAAAGAATACGCATGAACACAAGGTTTAAAAGACTGAAAAGCCAGGAATGGGCTTTGCTCTTGTCCCCCGCACTGCTTCCTACTTATATAACCTCAATTCCTACCTTCTCTCTGAAGCCTTCTGATGGGCCCACCCACACCTGGGCACAGTGGGAGCCCTGCTGCCTGCAGGAGTCACACCACCACACACAGAACTCGAGGGAGAGGGTGTGATACCTGGTGTCTTACAAAGTGGCTTAGACTACCAGCAAAATTAAGTAAATCTCTTCATAATTAGTAGATATACATGCCAATACCAACGGGCTGGTGATGTGACTGAAAGCTCCCGGGTGGCGGAATGCTTCCTGTCTGTGGAACAGGCTTTCCTCTTCAACAGTGAACCTGACATGCTGGTACCATCCCCATTGGAGGATTTAGAACTCATTTTCATTTTGACCTGGTTAAAGGGGACAGATGGGAGTGGGAGTGGTTCTGGGTGGCATCTTCAGCCACCTGTGGTGCTGCCACGTGAAAGGCAGGTGAGTTTCACCTTCTGGACTCAAATGGGAGAATTACAAAAAGAAATACTCTGTTGTATTCCATGGAAGAATGCTCTAATAATGACAGCTGTTGTAGAAAGGACTGTCTTAAGAGATGGTGTCTTGGGAGGGTTCGGGCAGACTCGATACCATCAGCTGAGCATGCCTAGCCTATCCATATATACTACAATGTAAACTAGCATTCAAACTGCCCTTCCACATTCCTCCAACACACACACACCCCAAAAAAGTCATGTGGCATATGTGGCTCAGAGAGGGGCGACAATGCATTCTAAGTCCTGACCAATATAGATGGCCTATCATATGTAGGGGGCGGGGGGTAAACCCTGGAAAGGACAAGGAATATTTCTTCATCTGGGACTAGAGAACAGGATGAGAGGCACTGGCTTAGAAATAGGTAATTTAAGGAGGCGAGAACCTAAGAACCTTGCTCTTGGCAAAGGAGGTGAGAGCATCTCTGCCAACACTAATCTGACTCGGAGCAGGACGCCTGCTGCCTGGCATGATCCTCACCACGGATAACCTACACTTTATGGTGAGGAAACCAAGGGTCAGGAGGCTTAATAACTTGCCCACGATCACAATACACCAGAAAGTGGTGGAAACCTGGCCTAAAACAGAACTTCTTAGCTCCAAATTCTGGGCTCTGCCTTAAGTTGAAATTCTGTAAGTCATGATGTCCCACAAAAACTTTAAAAATAAGAAACTTGAAACCCAGCTCCTTATCTTCCTAAGCCTGGAAGGCTTTACCTTCCAACCACTGCCTTTCAGTGAGATCACAGTGTCTCTGGAATCGACGGCTGCTCTGAACCTCTGCTGCACTACCTCTAACTGTGCAACCTTGGGCGAGTTTCTTCACTCCCGTAAGTCTCACTTTCCTCGTTCGTAAAATGGGAGTGATGACATTACTTGTTGAAGAGTAAAAAATTAATCAAGATGACAGTTGCAGAAGAGCTCAGTGCTGGTTTTGGACATGTCACGTGCTCCATTATCATCAGTCATTGCCACTCCTGTCACCTCTGCTTCTAACTGGCACCAAGATCGCTAGATCCTACATTTAAGTGTCTCTTCCTCCACCCTCTACCCCCAAGACAAATTTCAAGTCAACTACAACACATTTTTATCCTCTCTTCCCACCTTCAGCCTTGCCTCTCCCTAAACCATCTTCCTAACTGCCTCCAGTTATTATCCTAAAATAAAATCTCATCAGATGACTTCCTTGCTCACCATACTTTGAAGGCTTTGTCTATCTGAGAGATAATATCCAGGTTGATTGGTAAAGACCTTTATGGCCTGGCCTTGGCCTCCCCCTCCTTACTTCATCTCCCACACTCTACATGCCAAACGTGCCATGCTCCCTGCCCATGTGGTTCTTTCCATCTGAAATGTCCTTCCCTCCTCATGCTTATGGAAATCAAATCACCTTTCCGGGCCCAGCTTAAATATCCCAATCTCGCCGAGACCGGTTTGGCTCAGTGGATGGAGCGTCGGCCTGCGGACTGAAGGGTCCCGGGTTCGATTCCGGTCAAGGGCATGTACCTGGGTTGCGGGCATATCCCCAGTAGGAGATGTGCGGGAGGCAGCTGATCGATGTTTCTCTCTCATCGATGTTTCTAGCTCTCTATCTCTCTCCCTTCCTCTCTGTAAAAAATCAATAAAATATATTAAAAAAAAAAAAAAAAAATATCCCAATCTTTTCTTAGAACTCCATCTGCATTCCCACACATACCTACCACACCTGACAAGCTTTTTTACAGTCCACTAAGTATGGTTCTACAGCTCTATTTTTTTAAGGCACCAAGAAGGGCAGGAACTGTATCTTTTTTTTTTTTTAATATATTTTATTGATTTTTTACAGAGAGGAAGGGAGAGGGATAGAGAGTTAGAAACATCGATCAGCTGCCTCCTGCACACCCCCCACTGGGGATGTGCCCACAACCAAGGCACATGCCCCTGACCGGAATCGAACCTGGGACCCCCGAGTCCGCAGGCTGACGCTCTATCCACTGAGCCAAACCGGTTAGGGCAGGAACTGTATCTTTTTAAAAAAATATTTTTTTATTGATTTCAGAGAGGAAGGGAGAAGGAGAGAGAGATAAAAACATCAATGATGAGCGAGAATCACTAATCGGCTGCCTCCTGCATGCCCCACACTGGGGACTGAGCCCACAACCCGGGCATGTGCCCTGACCAGGAATCGAACCATCACCTCCTGGTTCATAGGTCAACACTCAACTACTGAGCCATGCTGGCCGGGCAGGAACTGTACCTTAATCACCTCTACAACCCCAGTCCCTGGCATACCACACCTAGCTGTCAGTGGTGGACACCTGAGATACACCCTCTCGTTTTCCTAGAATAGAGATGTTTGGGTTTCAAAAGCTTCTTCAGCTACAACAAAAATATCACCCATCTTCATCTAGCTATATTCAAAAGCATGGCACCTTAAAAAATAAGATAACTTGTTAGCTTCACTAAAAATGGTAGAGATATTTTACTTGTCCCAATTCACATGATTCACAGAGGAACAAAGCTAATAATTTCTACGCAGAAAACAGCATCCAAAAAAGAATACAGCTCTCTAGCATGGCTGGCTTCTCTCCGTCTAGGGCTTGCCAGGGTCTTCACATGCATTGTGTGGTGTTCAGAAATACAAATATGACTGTTCTTTTTGAAACTGAACAGAATGACGGTTTGCCAAACGACAGCAGGAAGGATGCAGCATGGGTGCCTGGAACAGCACAGGAACAAGCAGAGGCCAGTTCTGATGGTGGCTGGTCGGGCAAAGGAACTTTCTATATTGGGCCCATAGTGTTTCCTAACAAATGACAGCGCTCTAAAACCATGGAAGTGGGCACCTGCAGGTTTAAATGCTTCATCAGCAATGCTAATAGAGCCTACTCCTTCACAACATCCTCCTCAGAATACTTGTACAATAGTAAGAGCAGGAAAGGATTGGTCTGTAGATAAAAATGGATTTTAGAAAATATTAAGTTAAAAAATTTAGCTGTATTAATCTAATTCAGCCATTAATGCTTGGATGGCATTTTAATATGAACTTTGGTCCACATAAATCCATTCTCTCCATTCTAAGTGAATAGTTAGAAAATACTACAAATACTTTCTGGAAGGCAGAACTGGCCAGCCAGAGTCATGGTCATATTTATCCCAGGAAGATTAGAGTAATAAACTCTAGTCACTAACAAGTACCTTTAATAAATGTCCACCGACCATTAAAGCTCTGGGGACAGATCAATTAATCAAGTTTGTTGTATACAGAGAAATCTTTTGAAGTTTAACATTTCAAAATCTCCCTAAGCCCAGAGAGATTTAATATGCACCCCCTGAGCACAGAACAAAGTAGGGACCAGCACGTATCTGCTGACTGAATGAAGGAGTGGCTGAATCATGGCATGAAACCAATGCAGAAAAGGGAACCAAAGAAAAGAAAAATTAGTTCCCCAACTGCTCAGGAATCACATCTTCAAAGCTGTTTGTTTTCCTTTTAAACCTGCCAGTGGCTTAGTGCAGTGGTCGCCAACCTTTCGGACCTCAGGGACCACCAGTGGTCCGCAGACCGCTGGTTGGCGACTGCTGGGTTTGTGCACATTTCTGGTGTCAGGATGCTGATGTCCTGGTGACATGTTAAACATAATAAAAACTAAATATGGATGAATAAACAACAAAGACAACTTGGTCCTAGATCCCAGTAAACAAGAGCTCAAACTGAAACACAGACCTGACAACTGGGAGAAGCATATTGTGCTGATTAGCCGATGACAACTGGGAGAAGCAAACTAGAACATGCACGTTGGCCACCGAAGCGGATCTGGGATGCTGTGTGCAAGTAAGATAGTAGGAAAGGTCCCTTCTAGCTGATATCTCAGTGAGCCATAAGCTGTACCTAGGACACCTGACTCAGGATCTGCTCTAGCAAACGGGCATGCTCAGGATCAGGGGCTGTCCCCGTGCAGTCAACAGCCCGTCAGAGAGAGGTAGAGAATGCGAGGTGGAAGCAGGAACTGAGAGAGCCTCCAGCTATGAGATGGTCACTGGGAAAAGCTACTTTCATGCTAAGCCAAACAGTTCCGAAGTCTCTGGTAAGCACCAAATTACACCCAGCATCAAACTGGATTTTCCTACAGGACTATTCCTTTCTAAGTGTAGGTTTTAGATTTAAAGAAATATTATTTTAAAAAAACACACAACACAACAATAGTAGGACTGGTTACTTCTGCCCCTGAAGTGTCACAAGTTCCTTTGTTTTAGAATTCTAGAAATTCAGCTACAACAAAAATATCACCCATCTTCATCTAGCTATATTCAAAAGCATGGCACCTTAAAAAATAAGATAACTTGTTAGCTTCACTAAAAATGGTAGAGATATTTTACTTGTCCCAATTCACATGTGTCTGCCTGTCTGTCTGCTGGGGCCTGCCCCCAGCCGCACTGGAGGCTCAGAGCAGGCACTGTGTGTGTGTGTGTCACTGCTGGGGGCCTGCCCCTAGCCACACCGTGGAGGCTTGGAGCAGGCGCCCCTCTGTGTTGATCTCTCAGGCTCCTGGCCTCCACTGCGTGTTGTACTCTCCCTTGAGCTGTGGCCAGGGTGGAGTGCTGCCTGCAGGCTGCGCTTTCCTGCTCATGGATCGCCAGATCGCCACAGAGACCCGGGGGCAGGCCCTCCTAGGTGCTGCCTGCAGGCCGCACTTTCCTGCTCTGGGATCGCCATGGCAACCCAGGAGCAGGCCCACCTGAGTGCTACCTGCAGGTTGCACTTTCCTGCTCTGGGATCCCCACGGTGACCCAAGAGCAGGCCTTGCTGGGTGCTGCCTACAGGCCGCACTTTTCTGCTCACTGATCGCTGGATCACCATGGCGACTCGGGGGCGGCACTTTCCTGCTCTCGGATCACCATGGGGTCCCGGCTGGGGGCGGGCTTAGGCAGCACACAGGGGTCCGGGCTGGGGGCGGGGCTGCACACAGGGCCCAGATGGCAGCTCGCTCTTTCCCGCCCTGCCTGCAGTATGCAAATTAGCCGCCATCTTTGTTGGCGAGAAGTGGGAAGGGTGGGGGGAGAGGGAGAGGGAGAGGGAGAGGGAGAGGGAGAGGGAGAGGGAGAGGGAGAGGGAGAGGGAGAGGGAGAGGGAGAGGGAGAGGGAGAGGGAGAGGGAGAGGGAGAGGGAGAGGGAGAGGGAGAGGGAGAGGGAGGAGAGGGAGAGGGAGAGGGAGAGGGAGAGGGAGAGGGAGAGGGAGAGGGAGAGGAGAGGGAGAGGGAGAGGGAGAGGGAGAGGGAGAGGGAGAGGGAGAGGGAGAGGGAGAGGGAGAGGGAGAGGGAGAGGGAGAGGGAGAGGGAGAGGGAGAGGGAGAGGGAGAGGGAGAGGGAGAGGGAGAGGGAGAGGGAGAGGGAGAGGGAGAGGGAGAGGGAGAGGAGAGGAGAGGGAGAGGGAGAGGGAGAGGGAGAGGGAGAGGGAGAGGGAGAGGGAGAGGGAGAGGGAGAGGGAGAGGGAGAGGGAGAGGGAGAGGGAGAGGGAGAGGGAGAGGAGAGGGAGAGGGAGAGGGAGAGGGAGAGGGAGAGGGAGAGGGAGAGGGAGAGGGAGAGGGAGAGGAGAGGGAGAGGGAGAGGGAGAGGGAGAGGGAGAGGAGAGGGAGAGGGAGAATATCAAAGAGCTTATTCAAGACTTAGTTTTTAGTAACTAACAAAAGGCTGATCTTTACCCAACATTTTACTGAGCATGCCCACTATTTGCTGTAAAAAATGCATCCATTATGTATGCAGCATGATCCCTGTCCTTAGAGAACATTAAGATGGAAAGGAGGTAAGTGAAAGATGAACCACAATCTATAATAATAAAAGCATAATAAGCTAATTAGACCAGACGGAGGACGACCTTCCGGACGAAGTCAGGGCTACGAGGGAAGCCCAGGTCCAGGGTGCCTGCCGGCAACCGGAGGAAAGCCTGGATCCCAGGAAGCTGGTGTCAGCAGCCGGGGGAAGGAAGGCCTACTCTTGCACGAATTTCGTGCATAGGGCCTCTAGTAGACTTAATAAAGCAATGAAGGAAGTTAAAGAGAATGTATGACTAACTGCCAAAGAACCATCACAGGAGCAGGTTCAGGTTTAAGACAGCACCACACAAGTGGTGTGTGAATGTTCTTCCTACTCTACACACACATACTTTCCCATCCCTGGGGAGCCAGAGGTCTACAGGGTGAAAACCCTTGGGTCAGAACTTCAGTTGGTACAGGTTAGTGCTATCATTGCCCTGCCAGTGTACCTGTGGACATCACTCACCACACCAGCTCTTTCCCCCAAGTCTGGTCACAGCCCCTTTTATATCAGCCTTCTCCAGACACTCCTCCCACACTCAGGAAGGTCTACTATCTCTACATGACCCCCCTCCCCAAAACACTCAGTACCTCAGGCTTGCTGTCTACCACATCCACCTCGAGGGTGACTTCGGATTGGAGGATTTTCTGCTTAGCTTGCTCCACGGCCGAACTGAGCTTGTGTATGTAGGACTGCAGCTCTTCTGGGGAGTCCATGTTCAGCTCCATCAGGGCTTTGTGAAATTGATCCATCTGGCCATCCTCTAGAAGTTCCTGAAACCAGAGCAGTCACCACTCATCTTCAAAGTCATTAGTGCAATCACAAACAGGAAGGAAAGAGAAGTAGCTTAGAGCCAAACAGAGAACTACAGTAGGACAGGGCTCCTAGAGCTCCTCAGCCCACCCCACCACAAAACCACACCTCCCCCCAAAGTGTCCTACAGCTGTCCTCCCCAGCTGTCCCTAGGCTGCCATGGCATCATGGTTTCACCACTACCTGACCAGGCAAAACTAACCGATGGTGACAGACATCAGAAACGTTGTCATCTTTTGGGTGGGGAGAAGTGGGAAGGGTACTAAGAGTAGGCAGGAGGAGAGAGACTGCTGGGATGCTGTTAATGCTCCATTTCTGGATCTGGAGAGCAGACACATGGTGTGTTTCACATTGTGAAAATGCATGAGCTGCAAACTTCAGATTCGTGCACTTTGCAGCGTGTGTGCTACACTAACATTAAAAGTTTAAAAAATAAAATAAAGGGGATTATAAGGCCGACATAAATCAACAAAGCCAAAGTCCACAGCTCTTTCAAAAATACCTGCTGCTATCCCATCCTCTGTATTAATGATCCGAGACTCCTTTGTGACCCCAAGGGCAACTGAGTCGATGCATTTTGTGGGTAAGGAAGAATATACAGGAGGAGCATTTGCTGAGCAAGGCCAGGGGCCCATCTGGGATCTGCTGTTACCTGCACATACTGCAGTCTGTCTAGCCGCTCCTGATCAAGCTGCAACTTCTCCTCCCGCCGCCGGGCGTTCAGCTCCTGCAGCCGCCGCAGCTGCTGCTGCCGCCTTTCCTGCTTCTCCTCAGCGGTCAGAGTGCTGCCGAGCAGTTTACTGGAAAATGGGAGCTGCATCTTGTGCACATTGTTTTCGTAATAGTCAGGGCACCGCCATTTCTGCAATTCTTCAAATAAATAAATTTGAAAGTTATGAGATAGCAACACTATTAGCACAGAAATTAGAATGACAATACCAGGATTCTAGGTCTGCGTAAGATAAAGAGCATATGCCATACAATCTCTGAACTACCTAATCAACAAAATGCAGCCATAAAATTGGACATGATGGCAACAGACCTCCTCTAAAATAATTGCTAAGTACAGGTCTTCAGACAGAAATGATACCAGAAGGAAAACTGGAATACCAGGAATGTACAAAGAGCAATGGAAATGATGAAAACCTGGTTAAATGTAACAGACGAACCTCTTTTTGAGTTTAAAACGTTTGACAATTAAAAGTAAAAACCATACGCTGTCTGACAAGTTCCCAATGTCGTGGATGATTACATAAGACAACTCCAGCACAAAGGAGGAAAGAGAAAGGAGTCGCTAGCATGCTAACATTTCCACATTCTACTTGAAGTGGTAAAACAGTGATTCTAAGTAGACTGTGTAAAGTATGTTTATTGTAACCTCTAGAGCAATCACTGAAAAAACTACAGAAAGGTATAGTAAAGCCCGGCCAGAGTGGCTCAGTGGTTGAGCGTCAACCTATGAGCGTAGGAGGTCATGGTTCAATTCCCAGTCAGTGTTGTGGGCTTGATCCCCAGTAGGGGACATGCAGGAGACAGCCAATCAATGATTCTCTCTCATCATTGATGTTGCTATCTCTCTCCCTCTCCCTTCCTCTCTGAAATCAATAAAAAATTTTTTTTAAAGACATAGTAAAAAAACAACAGATAAAATGGAATACCAAAAATATTTTTAAAATGTTCTAATAACCCAAAAGAAGACAGCAGAAGGAAACAGGATCAACAAAGAGAAGGAACAGAAAACAAATAATAAAATAGTATACCTAAATCCAAATATATGAATAATTAAATCAATTTAAAATCATCTTAACATTCCAATTAAAAGACAGAGACTGAGAAAATAGATTTTAAAAAGACCTAACTATTAAGAAATTCTCAGGGGGGAAAAAGGAGACATATGTAATACTTTCAAAAATAAAGATTTTTTAGAAAAATTAAAAAGCAAAAAAAGAAATTCCCTTTGAACATAATAATGTGGAAGGAGTAAAAAAGGATGGAAAGACATACCATGCAAATACTAATCAAAAGAAAGTACAAGTGACTACATTAATGTCCACATAGACTTCAAAGCAAAGAAAATTGCCAAGGATAAAAAGAGAGATTATATGATAAAACATTAATTTGCCAAAAAGATGTAAGAATCCTAAATAGGTACCCAACAGAAGAACTTCAGATAGTTAAAAAAAAAAAAAAAAAAAAAACACTGACCAAAAAAAACCACAGAAAACTGACCAAACTGAAGAGTCCAAAGCAGAAACACCATAGGATCATATAATTGATGTAGAAAAAGCATTTCACAAATTTCAAAATCCATTCATAATAAAAATGCTCAGCAAAACTACAAACAGAAGAAAACTTCCTTAACTTGATAAAAGGCATCTGCAAAAAAACTAGAGCTTCGCCCTGCCTGGTGCCGCTCAGTGGTTAGAGCATCAGTCCATACACCGAAGGCTCATGGGTTCAATTCCTGGTTAAGGGCACCTACCTGGATTGCAGGTTTGATCTCTGGCCTAGTCAGGACACATGGGGGAGGCAACCAGTCGATGTTTTTCTCTCACATCAATGTTTCTCTCTTTCCCTTCCCCTATTTAAAATGAATATAAAAAATATATCCTCAGATGAAGATTTAAAAAATTATTTTTAAACAGAAAACAAAAACCTGGAGCTAACAACATGTACTTAATAGCAAAAGACTAAATGCTTCCCTCAAGATAAGGAACTGGGAAGAAGGTAAGAATGCCCATTCTGACCACTCCTATTCAAAATTGTACTAGAAGTCCTAACCAGTGAAATAAGGCAAGAAAAAGAAATAAAAGGTCCCAGAAATTGGCACAAGCCATTATGCTCAATTAATATTTGACAAGGGAGCCAAGAGCATACAATGGAGTCAAGACAGTCTCTTCAATAAATGGTGCTGGGAAAATTGGACAGGTACATGCAAAAAAATGAAACTAGATCACCAACTTACACCATACACAAGAATCAACTCAAAATGGATAAGACTTAAATGTAAGATGAGCAACCATAAAAGTCCTAGAAAAAACCATAGGTACCAAAATCTCAGGCATCTCTTGTAGCAATATGTTTACCAATATATCTCCTAGGACAATGGGAACTAAGGAGAAAATAAGCAAATGGGACTGCATCAAAGTAGAAAGGCAAGGAACTAGAATAGCCAAAACAATTTTGAAAATAACCTACATATGTAAGTTATCAGTTAACTAAACATTTTATGAAAGTAAATACCAAAAGGGAAAGGGGATGCTAAAAAGTAATGAGTAAAAAAATGAGCAAATGAGTTATCCTGGAAACAATTTAAGGAATGCCCCCAAAGCCAACACCCAAAAGCTGCAAGCAAACAATGTCTTCATTACCTTCCACATAATCCTCCGCGATGTAGCTGTGCTCGTGCAGGATCTCCTCCATGCGGCTGAGTGTGATAGCTGCCAGGTGCCCAGGATACTTCAGCTGCAGGAGACGCTGGAGGTAGCCAGCTGCCTGGCTTCCTCCCAGATTGATGCGCTTGCAATTTTTAGCATCTAACCTACAACCAAGAAATGGAAAACAACACTTACGTTTTTTAAAGAATAATTTATTGATTTTTAGAGAAAGAGGAAGGGAGAAGAGAAACATCTTTTGGTTGCCTCCTATATGCCCCCGACCGGGAATGGAGCCCCAAACCCAGGCATGTACCCTGACTGGGAATCCAACCAGCAACCTTTCAGTGCAAGTGATGGCATCCAACCAATTTAGCCACACCGGCCAGAGCAACAGCACTTATTTTTGACAGCATGAAAGAGAATATGGAGCACCTTTGGGGAGAAAGGGTAATTTAATGTAGATAAAGGAGGAGAAACAGACCAGCCGGGAGAACATAAAACCCTTAGTTGGAAGGGACTTTAAAGTTCGCATGGTCCAACATCTTAACCAATGCAGACTTCCTAGTCCATACCTAGACAGACATGTGTCCATCTAACTTTTGGCAAAAGTTTCAGAAGGAAACCAGGTTCAATGGGAAGAACGTGTACTCTGAAGTCAGACCCGCCATCAATTTCTCAAACTGTGGTCCTGGAACCAAGTATCCTAGAATTAGCTGAGGAAATGTTAAATGCACCAATTCTCAGGACTCATTTGCTCTGGGATGGTCTGGGAATTTGCATTTTAACAAGCTTCCCAGGTAACTCTAGACTTTTTTTTTTTTTTAAATATATATTTTATTGATTTTTTACAGAGAAGAAGGGAGAGGGATAGAGAGTTAGAAACATCGATGAGAGAGGTCGATCAGCTGCCTCCTGCACGCCCCCAACTGGGGATGTGCCCACAACCAAGGTACATGCCCCTGACCGGAATTGAACCTAGGACCCTTCAGTCCGCAGGCCGACGCTCTATCCACTGAGCCAAACCGGTTCGGCTAACTCTAGACTTTTGAGACCCCTTTCCCTAAACACTCCACTTCTACTGACACAAACACATTAAGTAACCCCAGGTGTATTGGCTTAGTGTAACTCCCTAAGACTACCAGGTCCCTTTCACATGAACTGAAGGGAAAGAGAACCAGAGTAACTTTGTGTTCTTAATGTGCGACAGTAGCAGAGCACTAAGAAGTTGCTATATAGTGATATGTCGCTGCTATATCACACCTCACCAGCAGATGCCAGCATAGAACAGAAGATGCTCCAATCTGATCATTTCTTAGCCTTCAGGTAAAATAATTTTCTCTCAATACAAGATAAAAATAACAATATCATCTTTAATTTTTGCATATCGTTTTACATAATGTAGACAACTCTGTACAGGAGTGTTTGGTAATGTGTAAGAATTATTTTTCTTCATTAATTTTTGTAAAAATTTCAAGAGAAATTCCTACTCTAGGGCTCAATATATTCCACAGCATTTGTTTTAAGTTAAATGTTCATACTGCTTTATAATTTACAAAGTGCCACCATCTACATTAACTCATTTCATCCTCAGGATAACCCTGAGCAATCAATTTTTCCCATTTACATATTAGAAAACTAAGTGAAGAGGCTAGGTACCTCATCCTTAGCAGGACTACAAACCAGGCATTCAACTCCAAAGCTAGAACTCTTTTTTCTTTTTACATATACATTTTTGTTGATTTCAGAGAGGAAGGGAGAGGGAAAGAGAGACAGCAACATCAATGATGAGAGAGAATCATTCATCAGCTGCCTCCTGCACACCCCCTATTGGGGATCAAGGCCACAACCCGGGCATATGCCCTTGACCAGAATCAAACCCGGGACCCTTCAGCCTGCAGGCCCATACTGAGCCAAACTGGCGAGGGCAAAACCAGGACTCTTTTCCTACACATCCCCTTTACTCAATGAGAAATCTCAGGAGAGCATGATGCTGGCCCAGGCTTTCATCAGACAACGAAAGCCCAACTATAAAATAAGAACAGATTTTAGACATGACAGAAACTACCCTCACATTTTATTCAACTCAAAAACATTTAATAAGTACCTATTATGTGCTAGGCACTGTACCTGAAAAAGGTCTAAACTATGGTGATTAAAGAGCTTTAAATAAAAATAATACTATCTTGCCCTAACCGGTTTGGCTCAGTGGATAGAGCGTCAGCCTGCGGACTCAAGGGTCCCAGGTTCGATTCCGGTCAAGGGCATGTACCTTGGTTGCGGGCACATCCCCAGTAGGGAGTGTGCAGGAGGCAGCTGATTGATGTTTCTCTCTCATCGATGTTTCTAACTCTCTATCCCTCTCCCTTCCTCTCTGTAAAAAATCAATTTAAAAAAATGTATATATATATGTATATATATATAAAGAAATATCCTGAAGAAAAAAATAATACTATCTTAATAAGAAAGTGACTCTGTCTAAATTAAGTTTATTCAAATAATTTATTCAAACATTTTTATTGAGCCCCTAGTTCCTGCAGGTACTGTGTCAGCTATCTCACTATAAACCAGAATTATAAAATTCCACAATTGTGGATTTGGACCTCGGAGACCACCCACCTCAACTCCTTCCAAGAGGTCACAAAGAATGTAAGGTGAAGTTACTTACCCATAGTCACAAAGCGAGATAGGTCAGAGCTAAGCCCGGTGGCCAGTTCATGGTCCGGTACCTGCTCTTTCAACTCCACCTTTAAAACAGGCACCCAATAAACATTTCCTGAATGCCTCTCAAAAGAGCACTCATGCCGTATGTACACTCACCTCCCTTCTAAGATGGGTAAAATATGTGTGCACTGGTACCCAGATGAAATGATGAGCCCACTGGAAATCAAGGTCTTTGGCTTATTGTGGTAGAAGCTGAACAGGCTGTCTATTCCGTAGGCAACCTTGGGAACCCCATAGCACTCAAAAAGGAGCTCAGACATCATTTGTCGTGAATATAGTGGGTTGCACACCGCTTCTGTCAAAACGATGGGATGGTCAACACAGCCCTACTTTGAAAGAAAAGAACAAATAGGTGATGGGTGATACAAGAATACTATTCTTAAAGCATAAAAGAAACCAAAATCCTATTGCAAGGGCTGAATTTGCTTTTGGTCTCCAATCAAAAACCTGATCAGAAGCAACTGTAAAACATTCCTCTCATCTCTATGGGAAACGGTTTTGGAAAATATGAACACAGGGTCAATTTAAGGTTATTAAGCCAAGCCCCTTCCAAACTATCAGCGAATCATATTGGCTCTATCTTCAAAACAGCTCCAGAATCCAGCCACTTCTTCCCACATCCCCCCACTCCCTGCTACCTCCCTCGGATCAGTCACCATCACCTCTCACCTGGGTGCCTGCAACAGCCTCCTCGCTGGTCTCCCTATTCTATCTGTGACCCAGGCCAGGCCATTTCCCTTATAGCAGCTCCAGCGACCCTTCGGGAACGTAAGTCATGTCCCTCCTCTGCTCAACTCCAAGGCTCCTCAGTTCACTCGGCAAAAGCCTAGGTGTATGTGCCCCTCCTTACCTCTGAGTTCCTCTTCCACTTACTGCGGCCCCGCCCTCACCCGGCCGCCCAGCAGGTAGGATTAGGGCATCCATCTTTCTGCCCCAGGCCTTGGTTTCCTCCTTTCCTCAGTCTGCAACACTATTCCTCCCTCGGATACTCCCGTGGCTTGCTCCCTCAACTACCGCCGTCAAGTCACCTTTTTTCTGAGTTGTGCCCTTGCCCTCTTATTGAAAAAAATATAAAACGCTCTCCTCTCCTTCTATCATGCCACAGAATCGACTACTTCATTCTACTTCTTGTCTGTCTGTCCATACTAGTTCCATACGCACGGGTTTTGTGTTACATTCACAGATGTATTCCAAACGCCTAGAAAAGTGCCTGACAGAGTAAGTGCTCAATACATATCAGTTAATAAATGAATCTGTTAGCAAAGGAGCAACATGCCCGAATGTACGCTCCAAGAGGAAAGGAGTCTGGTTCTGTCCATGCTGCATCCCAAGCGCCTACGGCTTACACACGCTAGGCGCTTCGTGTCTGACGGCGCGACTAAATGAATGAATGACTAAATAACCATCAGCGCCACCGGAGGGACTATTATTATTTCTCTGAGGGCAGAGTGAGCGGAGACACGACCTCATCCCTCCCCCTCAAGCCCAGCCCACCCCCCTTCCCGCCCTCCCCCGTCCCCCCGCCCCCCAGACGCTCACCTGCGAGGAGACACCCAGGTGCTGGAAGCAGTAGTCAAACAGCAGCTCCTGCAGCTCCAGGTTAACCGGCACGTTGCGGTCGAAGGGCGAGCGCAGCATCCAGCGCAGCGGCTCCAGGCTGCCCAGCGCGTTGCCCACCTGGGGGCCCGCCCCGCCCCGAGCCGCGCCCCGCCCGCGAGCGCACACGGCGCGGAACTGGAGGCGCGGCTCCAGGCCTGCATCCGGCCCAGGGCACGCCCAGCCGGCACGGACCTGAAACGACCCGTTGTCCAGCACCAGGGGCACCGGCAGGGGCCCGTGGGCCACCGGGCCGGCCTCCAGCACTGGATCTGGAGTGGCGCGGGCGTCCCGGAACGGGAACACGTTCCCCGCCGGCCCAGCGGTCCCGGACGCCGCCATCTTGCAAGGAGCGCGCTGGCTCCGCCCCTCACCGCAGCGTCGGCCCCAACGGCGCGAAGCCCCGCCCCGGCGCGTAATGCCGCGCGGCTCGGGTCCTAAAGAACTTCCAAGCCTCATCTCCTCGCTGAGGCCGGCGACCCTCTTCACCTGGCCCGCCCCTCGGGGCCCAGGCCACCCTCGGGACCGCTGGGGCCCGGCCATCCTGGCGGTTAAGTCCCGCAGTTGCTTAACCTCGTCTTCATATCCGACCTCGCCACGCCCCTTCGCTCTAGCCGGGACTGTGGGCCAATAAGCCGCGCCCCAAAGCGCAGCGCCATCAAGCCCCGCCCCTTCCGGCGTCCAGGAGGCCCCGCCTTCTCGCCTAGCCACGCCCTATTTCTCCGGGTAACTCACCTTCAACAGCCCTTGGTCCCGCCTCCACGTGGTTACGTCACCCCCAGGCTCTCAGTCAAAGAAACGCAAACTCTGACTTACTGACCAGAGAGCTCGCTACGCAGGCGTGTTCACTTTGTGAAAATTCATCAAGCTATCCATTTATGATTTGTGCACTATTATGCAGTTATGTTATCTTTTAAAATGCAGTATAAGGTTTTAAAATAGCTTTATGTATTTATTAACTCCCAAAGACTGTGCTCTCTAACTGGAGACCTCAAACACTAAGAAAGTACTGTTAGTTGTTTCTCAATATATATATTCTCTTTCTTCCATTTATTGGCATAACTTCCCCCCCGCTGTCATTTCACTTGGTGTGATCATGAGTTCTGGCCAATGGAGATAAGAGTGGAGGTGATGTGGAAACACCAGCCCCCAAGCTTTAGCTTTAGAAAGATTGGGCCCACTCTCCCCTACCTCATTTCCCCTTTCTCCCAGCGAGGGGGATACAAAAATTAGAGCAGCACCTTCACTCTACCCTCCCAGCTCTGGAACACGTAGCTTTGAGGGATAAAAAAAATAAAACAAACATACACACACAAAAACTTTGAGAGATGAAAGCAAGTTAATTCTTTTTTAAAGTGAATAAACATCCTTAGCAGGAAATAAGACCTCAAAACTTTCTCGAGAACCTCTATGAACACTTCTAGGCCAGATCTGACAAAATCAGATTAAAAGTGTTGTCTTCCAACACAACCATCGTTTCAGACATCTGAAGGTACCTATCATTAAGCTAAGAGAGCAGGGACAAGCAGAACACAGAGGCCAGTAAACATAAATGAATGTAAGTTTAAAAACTGTATCTATGTATGGCCCAGCTGGTGTTGCTTAGTGGTTGAGCATCAACCTATGAACCAGAAGGTCACCATTTGATTCCTAGTCAGGCCATATGCCCCGGTTGCCGGCTCAATCTCCAGGGTGGAGCGTGCAAGAGGCAGCTGATCAATTATTCTCTCTCATCATTGATGCTTCTATCTCTCTCCACAAATCAATAAAAATATGTTTAAAATAAATAAATAAAAATAAAACTGTAAAAAAGGAGAACTATATGTATACTAATATGGGAAAATCACCGAACTATTTATATATTTTAATACACTTTTTACTGACTCCACACTGGGGATCGAGCTCACAACCCAGGCATGTGCCCTTGACTGGAATTGAACCCAGGACCCCTCAGTCTGCAGGCTGGCACTCTATCCACTGAGCCAAATCAGCTAGGGCCAAGATATATTCTTAAAGAAATAAACGAAAGCAGTATAGTGTATAATAAATTCTCTTTAAGAGCAAAGGGGGACACAAATACACGTTTTTGCTTGTATTCTCATGCAGGTAGACAAGAAACTAATAAAAGGATTTACCTATAAAGAGGGGATGAGGTGGGTGAGTCAGATGTGAGAGACTTTTTCACTCCAAGCTTTTTGATACTTGATTTTTTAAACATGTAAACGTATAACCTTTTCAGAAAAAAAAATAAGCACTATGTGTGAGTGAGGTAGACCGGATTATTATTCCCAGTTCTTCCCTCCCTTATAATAGAATTATATATCCATACCATCAACCATGTGACTTTGTTGGGCCTCTCATTGTAGACATTGATATTAGTCTTGACCACCTGACTTGCTTTTAGCCAGTGAACTGTTAACCTAATGTAATTCAAGCAGAGTCCTTAAATGTGTCTGTGTAGTTTAGACTGCCCTCTTGCACTCCTGCTATTAGTCATGAGAAGAGCATGTCTGAAGTCTAAAGAGGATGAGAGACACATGGACACCTGAACCCAAACTGCATCCTGGAGCCAAGTCCAGCTGACATGCAACCTAAAGCCCAGTCATCCCCTGGACCCATGAACAAGAAAAGTTTATTCTGAAATTCTGAGGTTTCTATGCAGCATTATTGCTGCAGAAAACTGACTGATACACTAGATCAAAGCTGTCCAACTGGTACTTTCTGCCTTTTTTTTTTATGTTTTATTGATTTCCTACAGAGAGAAAGGGAGAGAGAGAGAGAGAGAGAGAGAGCTAGAAACATCAATCAACTGCCTCCTGCACACCCCCCACTGGGGACGTGCCTAACCCAGGTACATGCCCTTGACCGGAATCGAAGCCGGGACCTTTCAGTCCGCAGGCCGACGCTCCATCCACTGAGCCAAACCGGTTTCAGCAAACTTTCTGCCTTGATGGAAATATTCTACAAGCTGCATTGTCTAATGCAGTAGCCACTAACCAAATGTGGCTATTGAGCACTTGAAATGTGAGTAATGCAAGTGAGGGACTGAATTTTTTACTTTATTTAATTTACATTTACATTTAAGTAACCATATGTATCTAGTGGCTACTCTGTTGCACAATGTAGCACTAGACAGAATCTATGGCTGTGATTATTTGCCTGTGGAAATGACTAGAAGAAAATAGATCATAAGCTTGGAGTTACAAGGCCCTGTAACGCCAAGTGTCCTCCACACAGCCCTCAGCATAAGGTCTTTGCTCCAGCTGAGACAGCCACTAAAATGCCAAAAGCCTAAAACAGAGAAATAGGTAAAGGTCTGGGAGGTCAGCAGCCCCTTCAAGAATTCCACAAGGACTCAGGCAGCTTTGAGATCTTGAGGCTCCTTCCCCTTACACTTGACCTCCAGCCCTTAGATGTATCTGGTCTTGGGAAAACAGAGGTCAGTCAAGATCAACAGACACCTTCTCTGTCTTCTGTACTGCGGCACCCTGGAGCCTAGAGTAGTTCTTAGCCTACTCTAGTGTGGCCTATAGTGTGCTCAATAAATATTAATAAATAAATCCTGTGTGCCTGCCAGAACTTGTACTAAGTACTAGGTAATACTAATAGTTCCTTTAACTGTGCTCTCCTTTCCCCAGTTTATCATTCTCTCTGCAGAATCCTCAGTCTCTTCACTCTGTTTCCATCCCAGCCCTGGAGGAATGAACTCCTCCCAGGCCCACCCCCCACCTCACCCGATTTGGCTGGGCTCTCAGCACGGCCCGGCCATCCAGCTGGGTGTCCCTGGCCAGAGGCCCCTCCTCACCTGGCCCTTCTGGACCCCACAACTGGCAGAGGAGGTATCCACCCATCACTGTGGAATTCATTGTAGCCAGACCCTTAAAAATACTCAATCCAAATCTGTAGGGAGTAGAGTTCATCTCCCAAACCTTACCTGACACTCAGGGCTGGGATTAGGATGAGGCAAGAGAGGCATCTGCTTAGAGAGCAAAATTCAAGGGGGTGCAAAAAATTCAATAAGCGAGACAACATTGTGTGCAGTGTGTCTTAAAAAAGATGAAAAACCAAAGCGAGATATGATTTTCAAAATAACACGGCGAACAAAATAATGACATTTGAAATCAATGCAAGATTGGTGTTGCTAATATTTCCTTTGGCCTCCATATGGCTTAGTATAACGCTGCTGGGGACACCGCTCTATCGAACATCACCGTTGCTGATCCTAAGTGTTTGGGAAGGAAACGACACTGATGAATCTTACCTGGCCTGTGCTCGAGCTCACTGCCGCCCAAGAACATCGGAGTTCTTCTTTTCAACTTCTACCCACGCACTTTGGTGTTGCCCGAAAGCAAGTCTGGGGATGGGTCTCCTACGGAGGGACGAGGGTGCGGGCCTTCCCTTGGGTCGCTGGGAGGCTGGCTGTCCTGCCCCTGCCCTCGGGACCGCGCGGGGGATGCGCGGGCTCCTGCTAGCTGAGCACAAAGCCGGGAGGCAGGATAAGGTGGAGTGGAGCTAGGCGAGTCTGCGGACGTGGCAGGCAGCCGCTGCGCAGAGCCAGCCGGCATCTCATTTGTCCTTTTAAAGAGAGGAAGGACCGCGCTGGTGCAGCGTGGCGTTCCCACCTTGCCTTCCACTGCAGAAGTCCGGGCTTTCTCTGAAGGCTACACGCCGGACAGCGCACCCCAAGGTCCACGGGTCCGCAGAGGAGCAGGTGGAGGTGGGGCGGGGGCGGGGGAGGAACAGTCAGTTGGCTCTCCAGGGGAGACTTCGGGGGCGGAGGGGGCCTGGAAACTGAGGATCCTCTGGCCCGCTCCGAATCCTGAACGCGCGGCAATAGTGACAATAGGGCGGGCGGGGGGGGGGGGTGGTGTGTGAGAGCAGTCATCTCAAATGGCCCGTTAAATCGTCAGAAGCAGAGAGTGGCCGAGGGATCCGGATCTCATCTCCCTTCCGCCCCCACTCCCATTAGCTGGCTGCGGAACCACCATCACAGGTGCACGCACACGGGTGCTCTGCACACATATGCACGCACAGACGTTCATCACGGTTCTCACAGGATACAAGCGCAGCCTTACCCTCACCCCTCGCGCATCTCTGTATTGGCGCGCTCTCTCATACACCTGCACACGTCCACCCGGTCGCAGCCCGCAGAGAGAAATGGACGCCGTGCCTGGGCATTCTCCCGTGCTTCCCCATCTCACTGCACCTGCAGAAATCCGTCCAAACAGGCCCCGCCTTGGTGCTGGAGACCCAGACTCTCACGCTAGGCTTCTCTGATCGCCAGAGAGGACCCCGGGAACTGCCCAGCCTGCCCGCGCTCCCAGATCCCATCCGGAAAGTCTAACCATGACTCTTCCCAACCATCCCGGAACTGGCTCTCCTGGAGGCAGTGCCAGCGCTGCCCCTGGGATAGGATCTGCACACAGAAAGGGGGCTGGGTAGTTCGAGCAAACGCGTGCTCAGCGGACTGTGCAAGAAAAGGGGAGACTGGGGCCCAAATGGCTCAGGGCTGCTGATTCTAAAAAGCCAGGCTTCTTCACTGTGGCTGTGCAAACCTAAGCTTGGCCTTGGGGGTGGGGGTGGGGGGTTGTTCTCTAGGGTGAGATGCCCTTCCAGCCCAGGCATCTTCCAGCCCAGGCAGTCATGTCCTTGCTCATCGCCCGCCTCTCTGCTAAACTGTAAACTCCAAGAGGTCAGGGCTGAGTTTGCTCCTCCTGGACCCTGGCACAGTCCCAGTTAAGATGGGCTGTCTTCAACATTCACTGAACAAACGTGGAGGGCTTCGGACATAAACAGACCTTTGTTTTTGATTAGAGGTGGACAGCATCCACCAAATTCTCAGATGGATCCCTCCCTGGGCAGAGACGGAAACAAACCTTGTTCTGGCGGTTGAGGGGCGGAGACTGGAGGCGGCAGGGAAACGCGCTCCTTCCCACTGCGTCCCCCCACCCCCCCACCCCGCAGCACCTGCAAAGCCTCGCAGGGTTCGAACCAACCATCCTCCCCTCTCCCTGGAGCTCTCCTGCGACCCTTTCACTGCCGCTGCTTCGTCGCTCCCAGCTGCTTCACCAGGCCGGCCGGAGCCGGGTCCCCGCCGCCCTCCCAGCGCTGGATCCCCGCGGGGGGAAAACGCAGAACCGACCCGAGACCGCGGGCACCATTGTTTCTTCTTTATTTGCGGATATAATTATGCGCCGCACTCTAAAGTAGAGATAGATTTTTTTTCTGATATACATTTCATCTTATTCACCACGAGCACACCACACGCACGTAGAACAGTTCCACAAGATGAGTTTGGGTTCCTGGAAACCCGCAGGCAAGCCAACCCCGCCCCGCTCCTCGCCTCCCGCTCCTCGGATGGAAACCGCCCACCCGGAGCGGGTTCCCGGCCAGCCTTTCCCGCCGCAGGGTTGAAATGTCTCCGGAATGGGAAGCGCTCTTGCTGGAAATGGCTGCACGCTGCAGGTTCCGAGCACTGGATGGATGTGAAATGTCCCGCTAAGGTCAAGTTTCCGCGCCTGCGAGCTGCTGCCCCTCTCCCTCCCTGCCCACCCCTGGGTGCCAGGGGCCTACGTGTGGGGCCCTCCAGGAAGGACAGATAACCCTGCTCACCAAGGAGCCCCCGCCTCCCCCCACACCAGGGTGTTGTGGAAAAGAAAGGACAACAGAAACGCAGACGCGATGGATAGTGGAGCCCTATCCCCGCCCACCCCCCCTCCCCAATGATCAGAGACTAGGAACCGGAGATGTTTAAAGCTTGGCTTCCCAAGCGCGGCGGCAGGGCGCACGGGGCTGGTGGGGGCGGGCGGCAGGGAGGGGGAGGAGCGCGGGAGCTCGCCCTGGCCCCCTAGTCCTCCGCGTTGGTTCCGTAGGCCTCGATGAGGCCCTCGAGCGAGTGCACGAAGCCGGACACGCTGCAGATGCCGCCGATGACGAAGATGGCGACGTCGAAGAAGACTTGGTGCCACAACAGCTTGCGCCAGAGCAGGCGCAGGTGGAAAAGGCTGGGCAGCAGGAAGCAGAGGCCGGCGCCCGTGAGGCTGCCCGTGAGGCCCATGAGCAGCGCGAAGTGCGGCACGTAGATGGCCATGAGCAGCGTGAAGACCACCAGCGCGCAGCGCAGCGTCAGCCCCCACGATTTGAGGCGGCCGTCGCCGCCGTAGCAGGCGGGGAAGAAGGCGCGGCTGCCTTCCTGGAAGAGCGACTTCTCCAGCACCTCGACCGCGGCGAAGAAGGGCAGCGGGTAGGACAGCAGCGCCTTGGCCACCAGGAAGATGTTGACCACCGCGCGGATGGAGCCGGGCAGGTTGTCCGTGATGACCTCCTTGGTCTCGTCGGCCCAGGTGAGGTAGGCGACGAGCGCGAAGAGGCCTTTGAGCACGCAGGCGGCGATGTGTGTCCAGTTCATCATGCAGTGGAACTCGCTGGGCTGCTGCATGTTGCCCTCCAGCGAAGGCAGGAAGATCTGCGACGTGTAGCTGAACACGATGATGCCGATGGAGATGGGAAACTTCTTGACGTCGATGTAGAACTTGACCTTCTCCCAGGCCCAGTCGCGCGCCCGCGACAGGCAGTAGGCGATGACCAGGATGTTGATGACGAAGTGGGCCAAGGTGCACAGCAGGCTGAATTTGGAAACGGCCTTGAGGTTCTTAAGGAAGGCGCAGGGCAGCAGCATGGCCGTGGCGATGATGGACCAGGACTTCTGCGACACGGGCAGCCCCGGGAAGCTGTTGTACATGAGGTTGCCGCTCACCACCACGTACAGGATGCAAGTCATCACCAGCTCGATGATCTGCGCCACGTTCACCACGCGGCCGCCCAGCGTGGGGAAGCGTGGAGCGCAGCACGCGTTGGCGATGGCCACGTACGAGTCCCGCACGCGCACCACCTCGCCGTCCTCGTTCTCCTCGTACAGGCAGGCGATGAGGATCTTGCCGGTGTAGCAGCACACCACGGCGGCGAAGATGATGAGGAACAGCCCCAGGTAGCCGCCGTGCAGGATGGCGTAGGGCAGGCCCAGCACGAACATACCCTGCGGAGCGAAGAGGCAACCAGACCCGGGGCTGAGCTGGTGCGGCCTTGGAAGACAGGGCCTGAGCCGTGGCTTAAGGCTACAGGCCGTAGGGGGCGCTAAAGAGAGCGAGTCCAAGACCTGAGCGGCTTCGAGCAGAAATTAAGGGTAGGCTAAAATAGGGTTGCAAAGCGCCTTAACGGGGAGCCTGGGTGTTGAGTCAGAGATGCAGACGGAGGTGTGTATAGAAAAGGAAAGGTGTGCTAATGGCTGGGAGGAGTGAAGTGGGCTGAGTGTGAGGTCAAACCACAAGGAAAGAAGGGGAATGTGGAGATACGTGAGGATGGTTCCTGGGGACAGAATCAGAAGTGAGGACTTGGGCGGTGAGAAGGTGCTGGAGGAGGGGCTACAGGGGGCGGGAGGAGGGAATCTAATAAGGGACATGTGGGTGCCTGGAGGCTGAGCTGGAGAAGGAAACGTTAAAGGCGGTAGTGGGAGGGAGGAAAAATAGTGTGGGGAGGAGCGGGGGCAGAGTGTGGGGCAAGCCACTGGCAGGCGAGAACATAGGGCACGTGAGGATTTCTGCAGGGGCTATAGGAAGCCGGGCAGGAGGCGCGCGGTAGGGGAGGCAGAAAGCGGGGTTGGAGGTAGGGAGTCTTGTGGCCCGGCCCTAAGAAGGGGATTGCGTGGGAAGAGTAGAGGCAAGCAGGATAGTGGTGTGTGCGAGCCTAGATCAAGTGGGAATGTACAACTAGAAGCAGTGGGACCGGGCTGGTAGAGGTGGAAGGAGGATTTAGAATCCATATGGGGAAGAAAGCTAACGAAACCCAGGGTTCCCTAGGTCCGCGGGCCTCCCGCCTCCCGCGCTGGCGGTCTTCCGGGCCCTTGGAACGCGGCCTTCAAAGACGCCCCAGCGAAGGCGCAGACGGCCCTGGATGCGGGAGCAGCCCCCCTCTCCCCCCAGTGCCCGGTTCCGCTGGCCGTCTCGCCGGGCCCTGGACAGGGAGGCACTTCGGGACTGGCCACTTAGTGCGCAGGGCCCCACGAAGCCCGGAGAGCCCGGGTCCTCAGGCAACCTCGCCGCGGCCTCCCGTTCCCGGGAAACCCACGTTCTGCGCCCCAACGACCGTGCCCTTCGGGGACGCCGTGGGGGAAGGCAAACCACCCGGCCCGAGTGCGCCTGGGGCTTAGGCCTCTTTGGCCCCAAGACCCGCGGCCCGACCGCCCCCGTCAGCTCCCGGCGTAAAGGTGCTGACTTCAAACCCGCTGCCGGCGGAGGAGACTGGCGCCGCCTGGTGGGGAGTGGCGGGGAGGGGTGTTGAAAGTAGGGGTGAAAGGGTGCGGGCTGTTCATAGCAAGAAGCTGCTTCGCTCCGGCCACACGCGGAGGAGCTGGTCTCCTCTCTGCGTTGTAGCCGGGATTTCGAGCGAGAGGGGAGACTCTGTGCACAGGTCAAGCTGAGGGTCCACGGACCGTAGGAGCGTGTGTCCACCTGTATGTCCAACTGAGAGCGGGCTGGTTACTGTCTGCATGCGTCTGTGCATATGTGCGTGTGTGATATGTTCGAATGGGTTTATGCGTGTGCTTGTGGGTTTATGTGGGTTTATGTATGTACAGATATGTGTTTCTGTGTGTTGGATTGTAGGGATCAGGAAGGTACGTTTGAGGATAATCTTGTGGTCTATCCATAGATGCATGTGGTGTGCACCTGTGCCCGGTGTTTGCTCCCGGGGAAGATGGCTGTGGGCATGTGTGCCTGCCTATATACGCGCGCGTGTATATGCGTGCGTGTCGAGGGAGGAGACTCCCAACTCAGCAAATTTTCACTCTCCTTTCCTCCCCAAAATGGAGCTGTGAATCCATTCCGGAGTCCCACGCGACGCCGTTTCCTCCAATCCTGATTTTCTTTCTCCCTCACCCCTCCCTGCTCACCCTCCTTCTGTTTCCCTCCCTTTTGCGGGGTTTGAGGGCAGGTGTCCCTGACCTAACCTCAGTCTAGCTGTGCTGCGGCGGGGCCGCGGGACGTGGTGCGGCTCAGGGAGCGACACGCAGCCTGCGGGCGTGGATTCCTCCTGAGGGCTGGGAGGGGTGGGAGGAGGGGTGGTCCCTGGTACTGGAGGGCCTCTTGCGGCCCAGGTCGCCAGGGGACTGGGCGGGGGATAAAGCCTGGCACTCAGCGCTTGGGTGGGGGAGGGGAGGCAGAGCTGGGAATCCCGCGCTCACCTGGATAGCGTTGGTCACGTTCCAGCCCGCTTCCCACGCCGTGATCTTGGGCTTGTCGTGGCCCCCGAACTCGCCACCAGCCCCCAAGGCCTGGTCCTTGGAGCCCGAGGGCGGCAGGGGCGCGCCGTCGCCGCGCTGGTAATGGATGTCTCCCTCGACGGGCGGTTCGGCGCCCTCGTCCCCGCAGGGCTCGCCCTCTGTTTTCAGGATGTCCATCTGCAGACCCTGGCGGTGCTCAAAGTCTAGGTCATCGCAGTGCGCGAATCCCACCGCCTCTTCGTCGGTGGCCGCCTGAAAACCCATCCTGGCGAACATGCCGCTCACCTTGGCCTGAGACTTGTTGGACACGGTCGTGGCCACGTTGGACAGCTTGCTGCGGAGCAGGGTGGCCATGGCGGCGGCGGGGCCCACGGAAAGGACAGAAGGAGCTGGAGACGCGGGGAGCGCGCGGCGAGGCGGCGAGGTCCAGGGGAGCGCGAGGCCGCTATCTTCGCTGGCTTTCCCCGCGGCGCCCCAGGGCGCTCTGGCTCATGACCCTGTCGGCTGGCGGTGGAGGCTCGCGCAGGGCCGACCCGGTGGGCTGGTGGGCGGGCGGCGGGGCTGGCGGAGCGGCGGCGGCGAGTGCACTGCGGAGCTGCCGCGGGGCGCGGGCTGGGCTGCGGCGGCGGCCGCGGCGGCGTCAGAGCAGCTACGCGAAGCTGGAGCGGCGCCCCCACCCTTGCGCAGCCCAATGCGCTCCCGCCCCCAGGAATCAGGCGAGGGTGGGGTGACAGGGAGGGGAAACGCCGGAGGCAGGGGGTGTGAGGAGGGGGCAAGGGGAAGAGAAAGGGGGCACGAAGGAACTCAGGAGACTGGAGATGGGGGCAGAAGGGCGTCCGCGGGAAGGCAGCGGGAGGGAGCGCGCGAAGAAGGGGCGCGGAGGGCGCGGTGGGGGCTGGAGTGCTGCATTTCTGGGGGAGGTGCTAAGCTCGGATCCTGGCCCTTCCTACCCCGCCGCCGCAGGGAGGGAGGGGGCCCGGGCGTGCGGATCCTCGCGGTCCAGCGGTCCCAGCAACCCCATCCGGAGTCCGGGAGCCTTTTGGTCCCAGATTCTCTGGCCAAGGACAGGTCTAGATACCCTGAAAGGCAGCAGGACGGTGACCTGTCGCTGTCTGCCCGGCCGTCTGGGGGTCGATCTGCCTCACTCGCACTTAAACCTGGCCGCAAGCCCCCCTGGAAGGCAGAAATGTCGGTCATGGATTGCTCTCCAGAATGCGTAGCCCGGCCTCGGGGCTGTCTCTGCCTGTCCAGCATGCTGCGATGGAAGCCAATCTTCGGGTCGCTCGCCACCAACCGCTCTCCAACTGTGTGCAGAATGGAGGCGAAAGGTTGGCTTTTCGCTTTCTTTTCGTTTGGCGGGTCTGGAAGGAGGCAGGATTCGGTGAGGGCATCTCTCCACAGCCTCGCGGCGGGTCTGCGAATGCCCGCGCCGTGGAGGGACTTAGCCAGTGTCCAGCGCGGAGAAAAGGCGCGCTCGGCGGGCCCAGGTGCGCGGAGGCGCGCGGTGCGCTCGGGCTTTTGCTCGCACGGCGGCTGCCCGGCCATGAAAACCCAGACCGGTCCTGTTGCGTGGGGTGTGCGTGTGGCGCCTGCAAGAATAGGAGACAAAGACCAACACTGTATCAGACAGTGAGACGGGCTGGATCTGAGCGGATTCCCAGGGTGAGATTTGGTAACAGTGTTTATGTAAATGTGTAGTTTCGTTCACATTTGAACCTGGATGTGCACAGAGCTTGTGTGTTGGATTCCGTGTGCATACGTTTCCAAGTGGATTGCCTGCGTTTCTGCCGGTGTGAGTCCTTTTCTAATTGTGCCTCCCTGCGGGTCCGCCGTTCAGTATGGGTCCCAGTATGTGTTCCCAGCTGGATGTTCTCTCAGACCCCTCCTAAGCAGTAAACAGCACCCTTTGCCACCCCGCTGCTCCCGCCCAGATGAAGGAGGATTAGCGGCTGTGAGTGGGGGCCTGTGGGGTGGGGAGAATCAGAAGGAAGAAAAAAGGCCCCTCCGTCTCTCCCATCCTGAGGCTCTGAGTCTGGGAGAACCCCAGTGTCTTCCCCTGCAGAATTTCTAGATTAGCTCACGTCAGCGCACAAGTAGGGCGGCCTGAGGGCTTTGACCAGGACAACAGCCCCCCCCCCGCCCCCGCCCCCATCAGTCCCCTCCTCCTCCCCTCTGCCTTACAGTCTCCCGGAATCTCCTCTCCAATTAGGAAACTTCCACCACATTGGACAGCGATGTTCCTAAAACCTCCCAATATACCTCTTAAATTCTCCCAAGAGCCTGCTTGGCAGAAAACAAGACCGACGCCCCCCCCCCCCCCAACCTGAAGACCCCCACTATGACAAGAAAAGCTGTCCATAGAGACCTTCCCCAGACAGATCCTCAGAATCATGATAGGATTCGGTACAAAGACAGGACAGAGATCCTTCCTCCCACCACAGATTCTCTCCTCTGGAGAGGCTTTGAAATAGAACTGATCTACCATCCCAGAGATTTGCCCTTACACAGTGACCCTCCCCACCCCAGTCCCCAGATTCTGGGGAGAAAGGATCTTTCCCCCAGATTCCTATAGACAAAGATCATCATCTCCTAATTTTCATTCCCTCCACTTCTGCTCCTGGTGAAATTCTTTAGGTGCCCACCAGATGATCTGGGTGGAGACTGGGGTTCCCTAGTGCCCCCCATACACACCCAGACCTGAAGGCAGCCATCGAGGCCTTCTCTGACAAGTGAATCAATGACATACATGTATCAGCTGGTCATTGCCCATTCGTGGATTTTATGAGGGTCTTGACTTTCTTTCCTTCTCCTTTGATGATCACTGCCGTGGGACCCAAGGTGGACTGTGACGTTCTTTCAGTAGTTAATGAGAAATTCATTCATTAACCATTCATTCAGCAAACCGTCTCACAGCCCTACTATGCAGGTGGCTCTCTTCTGGCTGTTGTGGGAATCACCAAGATGACCCAAGTGTAGTCCTGCCTGTGCTCTCCACCCCAATTCTTGTGTCTAGGGGGCACCTCCGAGAGCATTCAGTCCAATGCTCCTTTCTGCAATGCTTAAACCATCCCTAAAACCTCCTAGCAGAGCCTTTCTTTCATACGTTCATCCTCAGCGTGCAGATAAGCAAACCCAGGCCTGGCAGTGAGGTGTCCCGCTCAAGGTCACAGAGAGCCCAGGGTACAGGCAGCCTAGGGCCCAGGAACCTGATTCCCCTCCAGTGCCTTCCCTTTCACGACCTCATCTTGTCCTTCTATCTCCTCTCCCTGCTTATTGGCCACTTTGCTGTCAAAAAAGATGAAATTCAAAATCAGATTCCAGGTTTTCTTTTTTGCTGTAATTAGATGCCAGCCACTGGGAGGTGGGGGTGGGGGTGGGGGGAATGTCTCTGTTTACCTTCTTTCCTGGGCAGCAAGCTCAGAAGCAGCCCATCCTGTATTGAAAGGCCATGTCCCATCATATACTAGCTGTGTGACATTGAAATACTTAGCTTTTCTTACTTTCCATTTCTTATAAATAAACTGTGAAAATAACCTCACACTGAGAGGATTCTATGAGGTATTGCATATAGAATGCTTAGCATGTGCTAAGTGCCCAATATGTGGTAGCAATTATTTTATTAGTGTTGCTGTTGTTACTGTTATATCCAATGGCCATTTCTCATTGTTTGGGGGAAAGTCAGTGTGCAAGAAAAAGCCCATGATTGGTGTGAGAGTCGGAGTGAGTTCTGTCTTTGCCCCTCTAGTCCTGCGTTGACCTGAAGGGAAAGGAATGGAAGACAGGAGTAGGGCAGAGGGCAGGGGACCTGGCAGGCAGCCCCAGGAGACAAACAGGACGACCTACCTAGCTGGTAATGAGTTGAGCTGTGCTCTAGTGAAACCATCAACCTCCAAATTCTCCTAAAAGCTCCTCTAGGGGCACCCTCATGAGAAGAATTTGCAGCAGCTTGGCCCCCTGAGTTGAAACACAGCACACAACATGCACACACACACTCACACACAGAGAATGACAAGCCAACTGACAGGTGCACAAAGAAATGAGGCCAACACACAGATTCAAGCACACGGGCAGATTTACACAGATCGACAGAGCAACACGCACAGGCCAAGGACAGGCTGGCACACAGACAGACACACATGAGATTTGTATCAAGACTGCCTGCCACACAAAGAAACCAGGACAGGCACCCCTAGACCCATTCCCATAGGCAGAATTGCTGGGTAACAGGACTTAGACACACAGCAGTGCAAAGACAGGCATAGACATGGAAAGTCAAACACACAGTGACAGATACCCAGACACAGGAAAACACACACACACACACACACACACACACACACACACACACACACATACAATTCACACTGAGACCAACAGTCAGGCACCCACCAATGAAAGAAAACTCCTATAGATCACTGAAGGGGAAAAGAGGAGAGAACAAAGTGAGGGAAGGGGGCAGAGGAGACATAAAAGGAACACAGTGGAAGAGGGCACAGGGAGACAGAGCAGGACATGCCAGCAGAGGTGCCTGCCAGCAGGGCACAAAAGAGACAGAGGTGCCAGAACCCAGATCTGGGACAAAGGAAATGTAGGCTGGGTGGCTGGGTGGTGAGGGAGCTGGAGCTGCCCCTGCTGCTGATCTATGATGAGTAGGGACAGAGGCTTTCATCCTGGGGCCAGACAAGTCCTACTGTCTTGGGGTGGGGGTGGGTGAGGGGCTCCTGGGACTCCTGCCAAGCCCCATGAAGCAAGGACTGTATTCTGGATCAGTCCTGCAGCCTGAGCCCCGGTGAGATGCACACCCCTCTTCCCACAGGAGATCCATCTCTCTATTTTTGATGCCTTCAGTACCCAAGCGGTTAAACGCCTGGCGAATGAAGATGGAGGCCACTTTGGGGGAATAAATAGGGTTAAATACAACTGGGCTTATCTCCCAGAGCAGGCAGCAACATGGGGGTGGGGCACAGAGCTCTTGAATTAATGGCCTGGAAAGCCAGCATCATGAGCATCATTTCGGGGCTGAATGATCACAGACAGAGCCCCCCCTTCGCTTTCCAAAGCAAGTTCTGTCCGTGAGCCTTTTCCTGCTGAAAGGACAGGCACTGGCTCTAGAAATCATCCTCCCCTCTTCAAGCCGGGGCATCGGTGCGACTTCCTTGCAGCTGCATGCCCACCTTGCCCCAAACCCAAACCCAATTTCCTGATCCTGTGCCCACAGGCACAAGGGAGGAGAGAGGCAGCAAGGTTGAGGGCTCCAAGTGGGCAGCCCAGGCCCAGAACAAAAACCCTGATTCTTCTGCCTTTGGTGAGAAAAAATCAGGTGGGACCCTCGGGGTGTAGGTGCTGCCTCTGCTGACTCGGGGTAAAACATAGTAAAATACAATAATGACGTTGTAAATATTAGCAGTTTACCGGGCTGAGGTAGTGAGCAGCCCACCTCTGGAGGCATGTAGGTAGAGGCTAGGTATCCAGTCAGAGATCATGTCCGGTGAGTCCTGCCTCAGGGCAAGGGAAGCTGGATTTCATGGCCTCTGGGCCTCTAGGGTCAAGCCTTTTGTGCACATGGCTCTAGGAAACGCCAAAGGAACAGGGGACATGGGGACCCAGGCCTGGTCCTCAGAAGCCTTTGAAACTAGGAAGAGCTGCCTGGAACTGAGAGAGAAGCTCTGGACCAGACTCGGTGGGTTAGTTCAATGGTTTCTGCCCTCCTGTCATGCTGGGAAGCAGGGAGCATGGTGACTTTCCCACTGGGTCCCTAGCACATAGTAAATACCCAATAAACATTTTTGGGGTTGAATTACATTGATGTAACAAAACCATTTCCCCCCATGAACATCTAGTATCATTGGTTGAGGAAACACACACACAATGGCCAAAATCCAGCTCTGAATTCTGTTGCTCTTCCAAATGGATTTTCCTTTATGCTCACATCACCTTCTACATAGTTGAAAGCCAGTCATACATACCTGTGTGAGATGTGCTTTTTGTTCAGAGCGGGCTTGGGGTGCACACTCTGTACCCCCAGGAATCTGTGAGTCACCGGTTATAACAACAGGGAGTGACAGTGTTGGGGAGGCTATGGCTCCAGTGAGCCCTGTGATAAGGACCCTGGACTCTAGGAGTGCAAAGGGGCTGTGGGTCTGATCTCCTGGACCCTGAAACCTGTTGGTGCAGAGCTAACCTTTATTGAGTACTCTTTGTGTGCCAAGCACTGTTGAGCACTCGGGATTATCTTCTTAAATTTGAACAATCCTTACATTAGTCCATTGTCATTTTAGGAGGTTGCACACAGGAACTGCAGCACTGAACATGGGGAGGTGGTGATAGATGGGCACAAGCAGGGGGAAAGGGGGAGGTTGGAGGGATGGTTATGGGAGTCGTGGCGTTGGATTATTTGGGCCAGGGAAGCTGGGGGTGATCCTTGCTAGAAGGATCAAGGGTTAGCCTTTGCTGGTCAACACCTTCCCTCACACAGATCTAGGATAACCTGCCTCGCTGAGTGCTGTGGGCCAAATTGTGCCTCCACCTCCCCGAATTCATTATGATGAAGCCTTAACCCCCAGTGTATTTGGAGACAGGGCCTCTAAGG